ATTGTTTTGAGTTCTTTATATATCCTTGATAATAGTCCTTTGTCTGAGGAACAGCTGGTAAAAATTTTTTCCCACATTGTAGATTGTCTCTTAGTTCTGCTAATGGTTTCTTTTGAAGTACAGAAGCTTTTTAGTAAGATGAGATCCCAGTTGTTGATTCTTTCTGCTAGTTCCCGTGCTACTGAGGATTTGTTCATAAAGTCTTTTCCTATACCAATGTCTTCCAGAGTTCTGCCTAACTTACCTTCCAGCAAGTTTAATGTTTCTGTTTTAATATTTAGATCTTTAATCTATTTGGATTTTAATTTAGTGCATGGCGAAAGATAAGGGTCTAATTTTAATCTGTGGCAGGTTGACATCCAGTTTTTCCAACACCATTTATTAAAGAGGCTATCTTTCCTCCACTGAGGATGGTCAGCTCCTTCCAGGGTTCTTTTTATCCAGCTTAGTCTTTTATTAGAGACAAGCAATTTATGCTTAACTCATGCCAGATGGAATAGTATTTTCTGTTTAAAATTCTTCAGGGAATTCCTGTCAAAGGATTATCTCTGCTGTCACTCATCAACAAGAAAAAAGTATTCCTGTCTGAAGTGAAAAACAGTCACCTTTCATAGTTCATTCCCTTTAAATTACTTCACTGGATTTTCTTTGACAGTAAATGGTTTCTTTGTGTGACTCTTAAAATTATGGCTACTGCAAATGCTTGAGCCCTCTATAGGTTTAGGAATTCATGATATTATATCAACACTACCAGCGGTATAGTGGTAAGAGGGAGGCAGGAAACCATTAGCTAATGCCGTATCTACACACAATATCAGGGCAATTGAGAATCAAAGATTTCAAACCAGTCAGGATGGATCTTTTTACTGTTATATATTTTTATTGGTACATTTTAGTTATACAATACAGTTACATTCATCATTGCAATCTTGACCTTTACATGACAGACGTATCTTGGTACTTATTTTTTCTCATTCCCCAAGCCTCTATTTCCCCCCTTCATCCTTCCCTATTTACAAATATTTTGTTTCTATTTTTTCCTTTTCTCTTGTTTTTTCTTTTCCCTTCTAAACTTTCCCCTACCCCTACAATTTCCCCAACAGCTTTAGACCTTTTCTTCCTATTACACAATATCAATTACACATTTTGACCCTTATTTACACTTTTAGTTTATGACAACAGAGAAACTATACGGTATTTCCACATGTGCGTCCTATTAATTACACTTAAGAGTATGTCCTTAATGTGCATCCACTTAGCTATAAATGACTCTAGTTTCATGTTGTTTATGGCAAAGTAGTGCTACATACATACATATATGTGTGCATGTGTGCGTGTATGTATGTATGTATATATAAATATATATATATACACACACAAACCAAAGATCATTTTCTCTATCTAGTCACCAGTTAATGGGCAATTGGAGTGTTTGCAAGTTTTAGCTATTACAAACTGCTATAAATGTAGGTGAGCATATATTGCTGTTGCATGATGCTTCTAATTCTTTTGGGAAGATACCAGGTAGGGGAATAGCTGGGTCAAATAGGACTTCCAATTCTAGTTTTTTAAGGTATCTCCACATTGATTTCTACAGTGGTGTCAACATTTTGCACTCTCACCAGAAAAGAAGGGTTTCTTTCTCCCCACACCCCTGACAACATTTATTATTGGTTGATTTCTTGATAGCAGCCATTCTTTGTGGGGTGAGGTAGAATCTCAGTGTTGTTTTCATTGTATGTCCTCAGTGACCAGTGATGTTGAAATTTTTTCATATATTTATTTTCTGCTTTTACTTATTTGTCTGGAAATGTCTGTTCATATCAGATGACCATTTTTGAAAGGGATCTTTATATTAGTGGGGCTTGATTTTTTTGAGTTCTTCATATATTCTAAATAGTAGACCTTTGTCTGAGGAATAGCAGGTAAAAATTTCTTCCTGCATTGTAGATTGTCTCCTATCTCTGTTGGTGATTTCTCATGCAATGCAGAAACTTTTTAAAAAGACGAGATCCCAGTTGTTGATACTTTGTTCTAGTTCTTGTGCTACTGAGGATTTGTTCATAAAGTCTTTTCTATGCCAATGTTGTTGAGAGTTCTACCTAACTTATCTTCCAGCAAATTTACTGTTTCTATTTTAATATTTAGATCTTTAATGCACTTGGATTTTAGTTTAGTGCATGGTGAAATGTAGGGATTTAGATTTAATCTTTGGCAAGTTGAGATCCAGTTTTTCCAACACCATTTATTAAAGAGGCTCTCTTTTTTCCATGAGGATGGTGGGCTCCTTTGTCAAAGACAAGGTAGCTGAGTATGTCTGGAGTTGTTTATACATTTTCTAATCTATTTCACTGATCCTTGGGACTCTTTCTTTGCTAGGACCATGATATTGTTAACCCAGTGGCTTTGCAGTATAGTTTCAAGTTGGGGATTGTGATATCCCTTGCCATGTCTATGTTGCCTTGAATGGCCTTTGCTATTCTAAGTCTCCTCAGGTTTCAAATGAATTTTTGGATTATTTTCTCTAGTTCAGTGAAATATACTTTTAGGATTTCAATAGGAATTGCACTGAAACTGTATAGCAGTTGGAAGTATGGCCACTTGCACTGTATTGGTTCTTCCTACCCAGGAATAAGGGATGTGTTTCCATTTTCTTATATCCTCTTTAATCACTTTTTTCAGAGTGTTGTGTTATCAGTGTAGAGGTCTTTTGATTCCTTTGTTAAATTGATGTATAGATATTTCATTATTTGGATGCTATTGTGAAAGGGACTGTTTCCCTAATTTCTCTCTCAATGTCTGTTATTTGTGTACAAGAAGGCTATTGATCTTTGAGTGTTGACCTTCCATACAGCTACTCTATCGAATCTGTCAATTAGGTCTGGAAGTTTTTTGGCAAATTTTTTTGGGGTCTTCTGTGTAGAGTATAACATTGTCAGCAAATAATTACAGTTTAAGTTCTTCCATTCCTATTGTTATTCCTTTTCTTTCTTTCTCATGTCTAATTGCTGTGGCTAATGTTTCCAAAACCACATTGATCATGAATGGTGGTGGTGGACATCCTTGACTTGTTCTTGATTTTAGCATGAAAGCTTTCCATTTTTAATCATTTAGTATGATGTTGGCTATTGGTGTTTCATAGTTAGATTTTATCCAGTTGAGATAAAGACAATCTATTCCAATTTTCTGCAGAGTTTTTTTTTTTAAATCACAAATGGGTGTTCAATTTTGTCAATGTTTTTTCTGTAT